AATGGTCCTTTGCGTAAACTTGTCAAGAGTTGCATGCTACATGACAGGGAAGGTATATAAACCTACCATGAATAAAGTTTCAGAATCTAGCGTGTCTATATTGAGGGCCCTCTGTACCCCAATTACATCTATCCTTTTATTTTGTATCTATGTATGCTCATTACAGATAATGCCCCTCTTGAACCAATTTGATTTGTAAGATAAGAACTGGACTAGATATCCTCTTACAAGTGGTGCCGAAACATGGGGTTTGAGGAAGGCCCTTTAAACAGAGGGGGAGAGAAAAACTGCCAAGGTGAAACGGAAACAAGGAAACTGTAACTAGAAGTAAAAACAACAGCAGACTTCAAGTACCCAGGAAGGAGATCATGAGTAACAGAGGAAAATAAAGAATAGGGTGAACTTTCTGGGTATATTGTGGGGTTACGGGACAAGGCAGTAGCCGGATAACCGCAAAAAGTTGTAAAAGTCACTATGCTGTGAGCCCTATCAAAAGGAATGTGAAAACAGATAAACTGATTTAGCAGGTGTTGTAGTGTCTAAATAATTCTAGAAGAACAGTTAAATTTTAACAAAGTTTTCTGACTTATATAAGCAGAGAACAATTTTTTTTTTTCAAAAGAAAGCTGCATACTTGAAGGGAAAGAATGCATATGACTCATACTTGATCTTTTAAAGTTTTAGCTAAAGTAGTTTAGAATCACTGCACAAAGGAGGGTGTGAAGGTAAATGTGTGTGTGCTTTGTGTAGCAGAATTCTTGTTGAAAAGGTCACAGAAACTTTTCTTATGTGTCCTGTGACAGCTATTAATTTGTTTACCTGATGTACATAATCCTCAAGGGATGAGGGAAGTTAAACATAATATTTCTTCTTTTAAACTGTTGACAGAAATTAAACAGGCAGTAGATAGTTTTGGAGTTACATTCTCTTTGTATTAACAGTAACAAAATCCTTAGCTGGTTTATTTTTGCCAATTGGATGGCATTAACTGGAGTCTGCCTCTCCCCAACCACATTTGTTTAATTTGTTTGTTATTCAAGATGCAGAATTAAACATTTCCTCAGAGAAGATTCAAGCTAGAACCTTATCAATATTTGGGGAGATTAGAATGAGAAAGGGTAATTTGCACACCTTAAGTAGTTTTCAAAAGCTTTTAGGAGATATTGATTATGTAAGTTCTATTTAAGTATTCCTTTAAGCAAGTAATTTTCTTTGCCACTTTGCGATTCAGCTTTAAGCAGGTGTCACATTTTAACCCCGGCCTCTCATCAGGAGCTAGAATTTATTGAAAAAGAATTGCGAATTTACTTTACAAATAGACCCTCAAAAGCCAATTAATTTATTTTTCCTTTTCCTGTTTCTACTACAAAGTGTTAACACAAGGAGAGACACCTTTAAAATGGATTCCTTTAAAAGGTTCTTTTCCTAGAGCTATAGAAACTTATCCTGATCAGATTAAAGAGTTAATTACGCATGGCAGAACTCAATGTATCCATTTAATTCCTCATGATCCTATTAAAAATTATTTTTCTTATGCCATATCAAATAAACACTTTGTTGGCACAAACGTTTAATTGGCTGATTGAAATTCTTAAAGATTACTTTTGGAAACAGTGTCACAGGCTGAATCATATTTTACAGATGTCACCCATGTACTTTGTTTTGGGAAACAAGCCTTTGTGCCTGTCTCTGCTGATGCGTTTTCTGGATTTAATTGGGGTATACTTCATACAAGTGAGGCTACAAGAGATGTTTTATTTTTAAGTTTCTGATTTATTTTTCTAT